CTTGTGAGTAGCAACCTCAAATTCCCACGAGCACTCATTTCCAGTCGGTTTCTTTTTTTGTGTGATGGGGTTCAAAACGGCATTGAATCAAAATTCGACGAAATAGGAAGAGGGGTAAGCAGTCAACAACTTCTGAACAATAACCCATAATGCAGGATATAAAATTGGGATTGTTTTTGTAACCAGAATCAGTTCTCATTTTCCACAGACCCGTGGGGTTCACTGTTTTAGAAATTAACAGTATTCTATTGCAAATCTGTGTTTCTCGATCACTTTTTCCACCGTATTTGCTTCAGAATTTTGCATGGTTTTTAAAAACCCAATACTTTAAATATGACTTTAAGATATGCGAATTGGAAAAATCATTTTTTGTCTCTCATTATTTTTGCCGATTTCATCTCAAATCCAATTGATTTCTCCTATAAATTTTGTTCAAGTAAAATATTTCACTTGAATTTGTATTAGTCTTCAAAATATATATTTATTGATTTATATTTTATACTTTCATTCTGTGAAGTTTGTTTTTTCTAAAGTTTTAAATTTATTTTAAAAAGATTTTTTGAACTAAAAAGCTTTATTTTTGTATGACGAAAAACAAATAATAAACATTTCTTTTATCCTTCTTTTTTTAAATATATCAATTTTCAACAAGGGAAATTCTTTTTTAAAAAAAAGTATCAGTTTTTTTATTTTTGAATAAATTTTAAGAATTAAAAGTATGTACTTTTGAAAATTAAAAGTATTTTCAGAAAATATTACTGAAAAATTCTAGGTTTACTGATTAGAAAAAATTAGTGCTCATGTTTATAAAAATTTTTATTTGTCGTTAATATGTCTAAATATGCATGCAGCCCCTTTATGCAAGTGGCCTTTCATTCAAAAAGGTTATGCATCCCTACGTTAATGTATACATAAAAAAATGCAAAATATTTCATGAATACAATAACAATGACTTCCAAGCCATTTCTTTTTTAGACTCGGGTTCAATCTCACTCCTTTTAGTGAAAAAGAATATCTCATTTCAATAGTAGATATTTAATGACTCTTTTTCATATAAAATAATTATGATTACCAAACTAATAGTTCTCATTCAATTCAATTTTAAAATATGCATCAGAAACAATAAATACTGACACACGAGGTAAATCAATCTAATTATTTATAAAAAGTAACGCCTGCTATCAATTTATCTTTTTTAGTTTATACTTCTTATTTTGACCTAACTGTAATTGCTGCAATGATGAGACTGCACGTTACATTGCAAGTTATGATTATTTTATTCAATTCCTACTTAGTCAACACTTTCACACTGTTCAAATTTTTAATCGTTCGTAAAATGCTTTTTATTCATCCATTCAAGTTAAAATACATTTTTTGACACTTGATGTTAATACAGTTCTTTTTCAAATATCAATTCCAGGGTTGGCAAGTTTTTGACGCATGACGGTTTTTACCGTCATGTCAAAAACCCATAGTTTTGGTAAAACTGTATTCTTATTTGAGTTTAACTGCTTATAATTTAAAATTAATTAATTTTTGGGCAATAAAATTAGAAAAAAAGTTGTTAAAAGATATTTAAGAACAGATTCTTGCATTTTCCCAACATGNTGATAGCCAGTGTGATTAATTAGACAGAATTTATTGAAAATTCTAAAACTAATGTAATTTTTTATGTCTATATGCAGTGATCAGTCTGTCGTTGTAGAGATTAGTGTCGGAGTTAAAAAAAAAAAAAAGTTTACGTGAAATACGGATTTTTGCTTATGATTTAATTTAAAATATCTTTAAAAGTTGAATTTTTTTTTTGCTATATGTATCGAAACTTATTGACGAAAAAAAATTCTGAAGTCTTCAGAACTTAAACTTTAGCATCTTTCCACATTTATTTGTGGAAAGATGCTGTTTCGAGTTTTATACATTTTATCAAATCTTTATTGATTTGATAAAATGTTTAAAACTGGAAACAGCTCATGGATTGATTTTAATGCATTACAGCCAATGGCAGGAATGTGATTCTTCAGCGGATTTCCGCTTTTTTTTTGCACAAGTTAAAATATTTTATGAGGAATTTAATTTTCCTAGCTGCTTACCCTTCTGCATTTTTACTTATTTTCTCCGCTTTTACGCACAGAAAATAAGATTTTCCGTATTTTGGCGTGAAAGCAAACGAGAAAAAAAAAATAGATGTGGATTTGTGGGGAAAATATTTATTTGCTTATTCAATTAATCTTGTAAATTTTTATTTATATATGTCTAAACAAAAACAATACAAACAAGCCTTTTAGAAATTCCAAGAGTAACAGAAACGTTGTGTGTACAGAAGAAAGTATAGAATAAAAATGTATAAAAAAATTTCTAACTTAATACCTATCATATAGGCGTCTGCAGCGTCCCATAAAAATGTTTGAAATATTATGTATTTTTCTTGGGAAATTTTTTTAATTAACTTTAAATCTAATTTTAACTTATTCACATTTACCTTAAAATGCAGTGTGAGAATTTGCAAAATATGTGTAAGCAGCTTGTCTTATAAGAACACTTTTGATACATTGAACAGTATGCTAACTTGAATGTTTAGAAATTAACAGTCATATTTTCAACACAATGTTAAATATTTGCAATGGCAGAGTTCTTCCTAGGAATAAAAAAAGGCTCACTCACAGGAAACGGCACTTTTGAGTTTTAAAAGGGCACTTACTTACCACCATTAAAACTTAATAAAATATATTCTTAAAAAAAATGCTTTAAAAAAAAATTAATATATTTTCCTTTTAAATTGAGATAATTTATTTAATACTTTTAGAGACATTTACTGGGATTGAGGGAAACATTTCTATCTCAGTTTTAAAAACTGAGTTTACTGATCAAACTTTCTGTTTATGATTAACTTATATATGTAGTATGTTAATTTAAGGTGTTGATGAACTTTCTTCTAACTGGCATAAACCATTATTTTTAGTCCAACCTGCTAGAGGGACATTGAAAGAACAGATCTACACAGAAACACGGGGACATGCGGCCCATCCCGTGTTAATGTGCGTACCGAAAAAACTTTTGTACACAATAAAAAGAAAGAAAAATAAAAAAATTGCTGAAAATTTTGAATCACCCATTTGAATCATCACATTTTGATGAGCTCAATTTACGTATATTCTATTGTAAATCTGTGTTTCCCGATTGCTTTTTCCACCGTCATTGCTTCAGATTTTTGCATGGTTTTTAAAAACCCAATAATTTTAATACAATATTAAGATACGCGAATTTCGAATTGGAAAAAATCATTTTTTGTCTCTCATTATTTTTGCCAATTTCATCTCAAATCCAAATGATTTTTCCTATAAATTTTGTTCAATTAAAATATTTCACTTGAATTTGCATTAATCTTCAAAATATATATTTATTGATTTATATTTTATTCTTTCATTCTATGAATATCCCGTTTTTTTTTTAAAGTTATTTTAAGAAGATTTTTCGTACTAAATGATTTGACAAAAAATCTTTTATCCAATTTCTATATTTTCTTAATTACATCAATTTTCAATAAGAAGGGAAATTTGTTTTTTTTAAAAAAAGTTCATTTTTCAATGAATTTTAATAATTAAAAGTATTTTTAAAAATTAAAAGTATTTCATTTCCTGAAAATATTTCTGATAAATTCTAGGTTCACTGATAAAAATATTAGTGCTTATGATTATAATTTTTTTTTTAATTTGTCATTAACATGTCTAAATACATGTGTGGTCACCTTTAATATTCAACCTGCTGTGCAAGTGGCCTCTCATTTAAAAAGGCTATGCACACCCCTACGTATAATATAAACAAAATGTAAAATATTCCATGAATACAATAATAATGAGTTCTAAGTCATTTCTTTTGCAGACTCAATTTTAATCTCACCCTTTTTAGTGAAAAAGAATATCTCATTTCACTAGTGTCAGACATAAAGACCCTTTTTCATAATAAATTCTTATAATTATCAAACTATTAGGTCTCATTCAATTCACAGTTTTAAAATATGCATCAGAAACAATAAATACTGACACATGAGATAAATAAATCTAATTATTTATAAAAAGTAATGTCTGCTATTCATTTACCTGTTTTAGTTTATACTTCTTAATTTGACCTAATTGTAATGGCTGCAATGATGAGACTGCTCATTACATTACAAGTTATGATTATTTTATTCAATTCCTACAATTAGTTCACACTCTCCCTATATCTTGCTCAAATTTTCAATCGTTCGTAAAATAAGACTAAGATTAAGACATTTAAGTATTTTTTTCTCATACTATGTTTACAGAATCTTTGACATTAACAGATTTTCTATAAAGAAATTTTGTGAAAAAAAATTTCAATGAGCACATATTTTTTAGCTTAACTTATCTATTTTGATATAGGATTAAAAATTATATTTTAATTTAAAAATATAAAGATTAAATATTTATCTATTGATGAATGACTAAACAAAATCTGTTACATTTATTTTGTCATTTTAAAAATCAAGAGGGAAAAAAAGGAAATCACAATTTTAAATTAAAATTATGGATTCGTAATTGAAACTTTGTTTTAATAGATAAACTATTCTTTAAATTCTCTGTTTCATCTAGTCTTCAAATTTCAACCATGCATTTGTTTCAAAATTTTTGCTATGCATTCAAAGCTACGTATTATAATGAAAAATTGCATTAGGTAGTTAGAGCTTCTAAAATATTCTTATAATATAGTTTTAATTTAATTTTTATTAAATGTTTATAAAGTTTTTTTAGCCATGAATCAAAGTTTTTACAGTGCATTTGAATGGAAAAAAAATTCCGATTGAAATAAAAGAAATCATGAACCCTGGTTTTATATTAGAGAACATTTTTTTTATTATTTAATAAAGAGTAATTAATATAAAATCTTTTTTTGTTGACCTAAGTTGGGATTGACTTAAATTTTTTATTTATTACTTGTTATTTGTCATTTTCGGCATGCAATAATATTATTCATATGCCAAATATTTTAAGCATACCATTTAATACAATAAAAATACAAACAATACATTTCTCTGATGAGATGGGAGACAAGCAAGTTTTAACATGTTTCAACATTTATTAAGTTAAATAAAAAATGAAAACAATTTTACACATCTCATTCACAGAACTACAACTTGACAACATGATTAAATTTTGCTATTTATTTCTTATATTACAATAATTATTCTTGAGCATATTTGTGCTTTATATCCTTCCATTGTTTCTATAAAAAAGAAAGAAAAAAGATAGAATCAATCAAAAGAAGAAGAAAGGAAACATATGTATGGTTAGCTGCATCCTGTTCAAAAAATGAGGATAATTTTTTCTCATTGAGTTTCACAATTTATCATAACAGAGCTATTAGCTGAGAAAAACAATAAAATATTGTTTTCAAAATAAACAACATAATTCAGTATGTGGACAAAATTTTATGGTTTTTACCAGTCAGCAGCCCCATGTGTTTGGGAGCTAAGCTTAACTTTGAAATTCTAATGAGAACAAATTAGCTATTTTCTAAATCAGAATGCAACAAAATCATTAACAGCAAACTAGTTTCACAAAAATAAAATTTTCCAAAATGACTTAATATTTTTTATTGTTTTATTCAATAACCATCTTTTCTTTATTTTAAAGTTCCAAATATATAAAATTGAACTTCATCACAAGCTACATAAATTTGAAAAAAAATTTTTTTTTTTAATCAAATTAGACACATTTTTTGAGAAATGAAATGTCAAGAGCGCTCCTAAGGAAATGACTTTTTACTTTCTTGTTTTGTTCCTATGTTTTTGCTTTTTCATGTCAATTACCTCTGCCATTTGAAATAAATAAATAAATAAATGTCATAAAAGCTGTATTTTTAAATTATCATTCGTCCTGAATTATCAACTAATTTAGTCTAAATGTTAGTTTTAATTCAATTAAAAACTTCATAAATACATGAGGCCAACCCAAATTTTCGAAGCATTATTAACTTCAATATTGGGGGAACAAATAAGTTTCACCACAAGATGGCACTACAGGATTTGCCACATGGCTCCACCTCTTCGGAGGACGGGAATAAACGACCCCGGGCTTGTAATTGAGACAACCCTTAATGCGGTGCCAAACGCAAACAGTGAATTCTACTTCAGTCACTTACTTCACCCTGTCATCTGTTATTATATCTTTCGCTACTCTAGCTAATTAAATATATTTTAAATTTAAAAGTTGCTGTTTTTAGAAGAAGAAAAAAATACTTATGCTAAACAAAAATTCCTAAAGCTATCTTATTCTTAATTATTTTGATCATCATAAATTTCACAAAAATAATATAAGAAATAGCTCATTTTTAAAAGATAATATTTTACAACAGAAATAGGATAAATTATCTTGCACAATACCTGATTAAAGTAACCTTTGCTAAATAACAACCTCAATTTTCTAATATATAATGCAATAACTAATAATATGTTTCAATACACCCATGACTTTTTTTTCCCTTTTATTAAACCTAATAAAAAATAAGTTTTTGTATAATTAAATACAACACAAATTTTTCTCTGTGAACAACAATAAAAACCGAATTTTAAAAATTTTGTTAGAAAAATATTGTTCAAAGGCAGATCAATAAAAACCAGTCACCATTCTTAACTTTTTCCCTTGCCATCATCCTTAGATTTAAATTTTTTGTATCCACCTATACATTTTACAATAATATTTACAGAAAAAAAGGTATAGTTAATATAAGATGTGATTGTTGAGTAAAAATATTCAAACAACAAAGTTTTAAAGATTAGAAATTAAGTCTTCACAGGGGTGATTGTGAGCCCAACTCAAAAATTCTGGAAATTTCTCAAGTAAAATCATTATTGACGCATTTCAATACATGAAATTCTACATAAATTATATTCAGAATTTGCATAGTATATTTATTATATATATTTAAATGAATAATTATGTAAAAGTTTACTTTTATTTCTAATCACATTTATTATTTTTTACAATTTTTCAAGGGGAAAAAAAATGCACGAGTTTGCCGGGGGTGGCTACGAGTTATACCCTTCAAGTTGGTCCCTTTTTGTGATTTTTTTTAAAAGTTACTCGGAGGCGATTGCCTAAAAGTTGCTAAGATTTGGCGATCTTTCTGCCACGGAATCATGATACGAAAATCATCCCTTGTACTGACTCATATCAAAACATTTTTATACTTACACCTTCATTAATTTTATCAAATACAGCGTCGCAACCAACATCAACAGCACGCTCAAAGAAGAAAGCTCCAACCAATACAGTTAGTACAGTTGTTGAGGTCCGCTTAAAAAAAGTTTGGTACAGGGTAGATGCTAGACCCATTTTAAAAAGTAGAATATTTTAAGGTGATTACAAATATTCCACCTTTTGCTTACTGAGTATTTTCGCAAAACAACGAAATAGAGCAACCAACTATCTAAATCTTAGCCCAGACGACCTTTCCAAGTGAAAGTTTAAGTGTATAATGTAAATCCGATTTCTATGTTTTGGCTTACAGCTTTCTTATTCTTTCTGTTTCTTCTATGTTCAAAATTTGTTTACTTAAAATTTAATTTGTGCGAATTGAAAAGTTGATGTTCAGATAAAAGAAATAGGTAGTTGATAGCGTTGTGAATAAGTCAGCGAAGGTAAACTTTTTTTTTGTAATTTTGAATTTAAAGGCGGTATTTTTTGCTTTCTATGTAAATTTAATTTCTCTTATTGCTATTCTTAATTTCAGAATTTACACAGTAAGCAGTATGTTAATCTTTTTTTCTATTTTACGTTTTTCCTATGATTGTTTTATTTGTGAGTTTAAGCAAAATTCTGTATGTTATGTTGTGTTCCTAGATAGCTCTAATTTTTTTCTGGGACGATTTTTCGAATCAAAGTCGTTTGTGTTCTAATTTTTCAGAGAAATTTCGTAGTAATTTATAGAACGTAACTCTAACTTGTGTTATTTTGAAAAATTTGAATTTTCTCTATGTTCCAAAGATATTATTTTGTAAATGTTTGATAATAATAGAATGGAAAGAAAATTTTCAAATATATTGTATATTTTCAAATCGCCAAATATAAGAGAGGACCCGATTGTAAACTATTACTGAAAATATTATGTTCAATTACATTTTATTTATTCATTATTATTTTTTTTTAATATGCTTTATTTTTATTTTATAGCATTATTTTTTTAATCATGGTAAATTTACTTCAGGGAAACAAGAGCGTCATTCTTCTACAAAGTTGTGTTGCTACTTCAAAAAACATTGTTTTAAATTATTATCAACCTGCATTAAATCTTCGATTTTTTTGCAACTCATACCAAATCCGTCTCAAGAATTTGAAAAGGACCTAATGTATTAAGAAATAGCAAAGCTAAACACATCTAGTTATGAAGATATATCTTATGTTAAAAGTTGTGTCCATTGCCATAATGTTTTGCAGTTTGATTTTTATGAAATTGATTTGCAATGTATCTTCGACAATTTTTTTTTTTTTTGGTCTCTTAGTGATTTCTTTTTCAAGCTTTAACATTAAACATATCATAACCGGTCAAACTGCAATTTAAGAACTTTTGCATCAAAAATGGGCTTATCATCTTATCGTTTTTGCATATCATGACTTTTTCTAACAATTACATGCAGTTAATATTCTATTAATAATTTTTTTTTTTGTATTTTGTTTGCTTTGAATAATACTCGTCGTATACCTATTTCTACCACAACCAGTCATTTGATTGTGGGAACAATTTATTGCTTTATAAGGTTATCGGGTCAGAAATTACAATGTAATGCCTGTTCAATGTATTGCATTAGATTAGTTGCGCGCATCTGCAAAGACTGTTGTGTAGTAAGTTCAATCAGAATAACTGGGAATTCAAATTTACATTTAAATTACAGGAAAGTACGTAAAATTTTGCATTGACATTTTTATGTAAGAAAAGTGAGAAAAATTAAATGTTTTGGTCAGTAGCTTATATTTTATTTTGATAGCTTTACTTCTCAACTGTTAGTTTTTACCCAGGAAAATGTCGAAACAATTAAGTCAGCACAAGTTCTTGGAAGAAATTATATTAATTATACGAATTATGATTCATATGATTATACAGTAGAGAACCAATTATCCGGGATGTACGGGACCATCGCTATCCCGGATATCTGAATTTCCCGGTTTTCTGGATCGACCAAAAAGTGTCGATAATCGATGTTTTATCGAACCCGAAGTACAAGGAAAAAGTGTAATGCATAAAGTAAGAGAAAAAAGAAAGGTACTCCTAACTTTAAAAAGAAAAAAAAAATGGTAGAAATATAACATTTAAAAGAATAAAAAAATTTGCAAGTTTAGACAAGAAATAAAGTTTAAAAAATACAAAATTCTCATATTTATTTTTTAAAAATAATTACAATTCCTAAATTAAATAATCTAAACAAAACCAATGATTAAATAACACAATATATTTCATACCTAATTATACGGGGGGAAACGATAAAATAGAAGGAAAATTTATTAATCTAAATAAAAACACTTGAAAATTATCGAATCGAAACGATAGTTAAAAAAAGCACTAGCATAAATATTAAAACCCGGAACAAAGCAAGATCAACGGAATTCAAAAAAAAGAAAAAAAACCTAATGATAAAATTTATGAATAAAAAGAATTAATTTATTGAGCGCGAGATTTATTGCGAAAAGAAAAAAAATCAAACGTAGTGGAATCAGAAAAACAAAACTGCAATCTGCTTCATAAAATAATCCTATGTTTAAATTAATAAACAATTCTCATTTTATTTTATTTTTTTTGTTGATAAAAACAAGATTTTTAATTACAGCAGATNTGCATATTTGACTTCATGACTTTTTCTAACAATTATATACAGTTAATATTCTATTAATAATTTTTTTTGTATTTTGTTTGTTTTGAATAATACTCGTCGTATACCTATTTCTACCACAACCAGCCATTTGATTGTGAGAACAATTTATTGCTTTATAAGGTTATCAGGTCAGAAATTACAATGTAATGCCTGTTCAATGTATTGCATTAGATTAGTTGCCCGCATCTGCAAAGACTGTTGCATAGTTAGTTCAATCAAAATAACTGTGAATTCAAATTTCAAGAAAGTACATAAAATTTTGCATTGACATTTTTGTGTAAGAAAAGTGAAAAAAATTAAAAGTTTTGGTAAGTAGCTTATATTTTATTTTGATAGCTTTACTTCATTTCTGTTACTTCTCAACTGTTAGTTTTTAACCTGAAAAATGTCGAAACAATCAAGTCAGCACAAGAAATTATATTAATTAGAAGAAATATGTTTACAGAAAATGTACAAAAGAAACACCCATTGTATGTATATGTAAAACATGTGTTGAGCAATGAATTAAAAATTCTTATTCCTTGTGTTTGTAATACATAAAAATTGGCAATATACAATTTCTTTAAATTATAGAAAAGTTTTTTTAGTTTATTTCCTTCATAACATCCATATTTCATGCATTCAATCAAGAAACATAAACTTCGGTCATTTGACCGGCTATGATGAAAATAGGTATATTTTAAGTGTTGGTATGTGTTAATACCGTGACTTTTTTCTTTAGATTAATGTATCAGTTTGAACTTCATCTTTCAAATGGCATTATCTAGTTATTGGGTTTCTCGGCGCCGAAAAGATTTAGCCGAACAAGCTATAGTTTCCAAAAGAGAGAAGGAAGCCGTTCATGCCAAAAAATGTCAAGAGGTTGCAAGTTTTCATCAGGACCTGGCTAGAAAATGCACTAAATACAAATATTTAGAAGAAGCTAAAGTTTTGACAACACCAAGGTATTTAAAAAACATTTTCCTTCTCAATATGCTTGAGAAAATAATAGTTTCTCTTTATGTTCATGTTATGTTATATAGTGGAGGATTCAAAAGAGGAAAAAGTTTTGAATGTATCATCAGGGGTCTATCTAAGCCGAATTCACTACCGTTTAGCGGTACCTTCACAAATTCAACTTTGGGAAATTCACGAAAAACTTTTCTTAAAATTTTATTTTTGTGTCTCGTAAGAAACGATAAATCCATATTTTTGAGTTGATTTTTTAATATAATTTTTAATTTTCAATTAATTTTCCATTTTAATATAATTTTTAATTTTAATCCTCTCAGAAAAACCTAGACAGACCCCTTATCATGTGTTCCGAGGTCACCAGATTTAATGGTGGGATGCTTGCAAAATTATGTTAATCTTGTGTGTTTTCCATAACTTTTTATTTTCTCTTTTTAGTTTTAAATATTGTAGTAAATGGTGACTAGTGCATGTTAAATCTGTTAGGTAATAAAGCCCTCCATGTTTCCAAAACAAATATTTCTGGGGGAAGGATGTGCTTGGTAAAAAATATGTTGAAAAAAAAAATAAAAAAAATAATTCATATCTTTTAATAAAACATCTCTTTTTAATTGCACAATTTGTGTGTTACATTTTTTAACTACTTCTCAATCATCTCATACAGTACACTTGGGAACCGATTATCCGGAATGATTGGGACCATCGCTATTCCGGATAACTGATTTTTCCGGTTTTCTGAATTGCTACAAAAAGCCGTTTGTTTATTGTTAAACTCAAGAAAAAAAAATTTTTTTTTGTGGAAATAATCTTAAAAAGAAGAAAAAACGATGAAGGAATACACTAGTGATTATTTCCAAAATGATGGTAAGGTAAACATCTTTTAAAAAAGGAAAAAAAATCCTAAAATCTTATAAGGAAAAAAAAAAATTTTTTTTTTAAATGGCGCGAAAGTGTATCAAATTTTGTTCCGGTTTTCTGATTTCCGGATAACGGGTTCTGTACTGTACTTCCCAAAGGGTATACTGGGGAACCCTAGGGGTCCATGCGGACATGGCAGGGCTTTCTAGAGTTGGGATAATTTTAACCAGAAATAATTACATTTATATCCAATCAATAATCAATCATTTATTGAATATTTTGCATGTTTATGTGACCTACTTCATGTAAAATATGGATTTTTTTTTAAAAAGTAGCGGAATTTATAATTTACCTAATTTTTTCTTAAATAAAACAATATATTAAATAAATTATGAAAAGAATATGCGTTTATAAAACTTTCGTAAGTATATCTTGTCGAGCTTTTTAATTCAAAATAAAATAACTAAATTCTAGAATAATGAATTATGTTTTTCTGATGACTATTCTCATCATTTATTATAATTATTTTTTAAAAATCATAATTCAGCTTATTTTATTCTTTTGCAACCTATGCAAATGAATAAAATAAGAAAATTCATATATTTCATATTTTATTCTATACTCCTATTTAATATCATCAATGTAATAAATGCTGGTTCTTTTCTTATCAAATGTTTCAGCTAATGTTAATTTATTTTTATGTGCATTGTACAGAATGCGGGAAGAATCATATGTCTTGGAAAACCAGAGAGTTGCTGCCAAAGAGAAAATAGATTCTAGGAGACAAAAATTGGCTCAACTCTTAGATGTTGAACATAAACAGTTTATGGTATGGATATATTATTATGTCATATTTCATTATTATGATTTTATTAGTTGCTAAAGTTTATTTACTTTTCGCTATCAAAGACAAACTCATTCATACTTATCAAGTCTCTAGTTTTTTAACGAAGGTTCCTTCATTTTATGTCTATCTCCTGTTTACCCGTATATTCTCAAATTTCTCCTTATTTGTTGAAGAAATTTTTTTTACAAAGTTTGCAATAATGATGACTAAAATATTTCTCATATTCCTCAACAGATGTCCTATTGCCAGTATTGCAGTATGTTGAGTGTTTATAGTTGAAGTAATTATAAATAATGGTTTTAAAAAAATCTTTTTTAGATTAAGATTTATATACATATTTTTTACTTCTCTGAATGTAAGTGCTTTTATTATTTCTAATTTTGAATTTCTCTTTTTGACTTGCATGATATATGAAAACACTTTATTTGTAGCTTAAAAAATGTTGCTAGTAAAATCTATTTTATTTTTCCAATGTTGGCATGTCTGGTTATTTAACTGTTAGAAAAACTAATGAAGAAGGATTAATAGGAGGACATTGACCATTCATGGTTCTAAATAAAACCTACTAGATTAGGTTATCTATATAAAGCTAGGTTATGTAATATCAAGTATTAGCATTGTTCTGTGCAAATGCAGTGTTTACCGTCGAAAATATGAATAACTTATCTGTTCAGTATGTAGCCTGACAATGACTTTATTGCATTATCTTGTTAGATTGAAGTATCATTTGAAAAAAATAGTTTTTATTAATTTTTAAAGCTATGAAATCTCATTTCCTCACTTGCAACTCTTAATACCTACAAATACAAAAAACATCTCTCACTAAAGTACATCATGGCGACATTGTCGCAGAATGATACTGAGTTTTTGCAGAAAGATTCTTCCTTCGGGAAGTAAAAAATTTAGCTTTTCTTTTCTGCAGAAATTTTCGAAAGATTTTATTTTTTCTTCAGAATTAAATTCAAAAAATGCCTTTCTCGCGCATTGGAGTGGAGAAAAAAAACTTATTTTTCTATTCTCATTTGAGAATAATGAAAAATAAAGAATAATGAAGTAAAAAATTTGGCTTTTGTAGAAATTATTGTTTTAATTTTTCTTGCAGTTATTATTACTGATTTACACATAGCTTTTAAAATCTGTTATTTTTAATATGATATTATTTGTTACAACAATTGAATCTCACAATGAAAACATGCCTTTAATAACCCCTTTTAAAGAGTCCATTTTGTGTGATTTCGGTGTCAATCTCTTTTTTCAGTAGTTACTACTAGGGATTTCACAATTTTTTTTAAAAATGTGATGATGAATTACAAATTGCAAAAAAGGAGGTAATTAGTGTGTCCTACAAAATGTAAGAGAAATAGAATATATTAGAATAAAAAAATATTACATATTCAGTTAAAAAAAATAATTTTATTGCCTCCCATTTTTTTAAATTTATTTATTGACGTTAACGCTTCTGTTACTTTAAATTAGTAACATGTATATTTGTTATTTTTAAGTATCTTACAGAAAGATATTAGTATTAGAGAGGTATGTAGAAGAAAGCCTGAAAATATTCTGCCACAGGGCTGAAATATCTATACTTTTTCTTGTTCAACTTTTGTCACTTTTGTAGTATTATTTCTATATAAAATGAATTTTTCGGTATTTAAATAGGCTTTTTATTAATCAAAAGTGTTTGAAATTCATATTTTCTCACTTATAGCGATTCAGAATGTTTCATATCAATGGCATTACTTATTCGATATAAACAGTTCTGATAAAACTCAGGGTGAAGAGTGGGTCACATTTACACCCTTTTCACCATTTTTAAAAAGTTATCACATTTTGTCTCCTTATTTAAGATTTATCACCTTTTTGAAGATTTTTAGAAACAAGCCACTTCTAACCAGTGAAGGAACAAGCCTGTTCCTTCACTGGTTGGAAGTTGTTTTTTGTAATTTTAACATAATTTTGATGTATAATATGACTAAAGATACAAGGAAATTAAATTTTTTTCTTTTATTTTCATTAACTTGGAAAAATCCCAGTAAAGGAACACTTTATCATTCATTGGTTTTTCATTGTTTGGTAATCCATTTAATAAACACCCCTTAATCTCAGTACTTGCTTATGCTATGATGCTTAAAATAAATAAAACATAACTTCAATAACCATATTTTGAGTTCTTTTTTTCATAGTGAGGAAAATAGAACTATTATATGCAATTAATTGTACTTTAAATGGATAAATACAAACACTGACCCTATAATTTTGTCATTAAAACAAGGTGCCGAACAGATTCTAACAAATTTAAAAAAATTTCCAGAGAAGACCATATGACCAGGTACACCAATGCATTGTTAGATGACTTCCTGTTGTTTGGCAGTAAGCTACTGTTACCAATCAATCTAAGTAAAAACTTTTAAAATTTTAATTTTAAAAAATATTTATGAAATATTCCTTCATTGGTGTGTGTTACTTCACTGGTTGCTTTACCCTAATTTAGTTGATAAAATCTTGTTAACAGATCAAACTATTGCTAATAATTTTTGAAACTATTCATTATTACTTTTTAAATCAATAATAATTTTAAATAATCTTATATTAAGCGTTGTAAGTTTTTAAATCGATGATTTATCTTTACGAAAAAATCATGTGATTGAAATAAATGATTCATAGTTGCCAACTCTACTGGATTTTGTCAGTTTCTCCTGGTTTACTGGTTTAATTAAAATCTGCCTTGTTTTTTAACATTTTTGAAAATTCCCTAAAAGTAAGTTTCCTAAATAAATCAATATTAAAATAGAATTTTTGGGCAGATTATTGCTTGCTTGAATATTTAAATATGTGTTACTAATACATTAGCTAGTCTCATTTATAAAAATCAGTTTAAAAAATTTTTTTGTTCTAAAATTTTGAGTTTATATAGAACTTCCTTTTTAAACTAATTAAAAAATCTTATAACTATCTTTGATGAATTAAATACCTATTACTATTCTAAATTATGAGTAAACATGATACATAACATTTCAAGCTCATTTAATGTTAAACATAACTGGAAAATATTGCAGTTTTCATGAATATAAAAATCCCTAAAATTACCTATGTGTGAAATATTTAGTACATTTTGCAACAATTATCATGAAATTTGTAGTATTTTGTAAAATCTACTGGATTTTTTTACTTAGCTATGATGATTTTTTTGAGAATCAGTTGGTTCGATTAAGTTAATTTAAATGAGTGAATTCTGTAATATATATTATTATAGCTCTTTGCATATTTAGAAAGAGCTGAAGGAATTGAAAGAAATGAATCGAGAAAAGGATCCATGGAATATCACTCAATTAAAGATTCAAATGGAAGATCTTCAAAGACAAAGAAGAGAAACTGAGCAAAATGTAAGTCAAAATTTCTGAGGCTGATCTAGCATTTATTGCTTACATTATGAATAAATGTATATATTTTTTTTTACAAAATCTAAAGATTCTCAAAGTTACTTATCAAAGTAATTCAAGCATTTAGGTCTTAAACTAAAGGGCCACATCATAAGATCCCACAGGCTATTTTTCTACTCGATAACAAAAAATTTTACCGCCGGAGAAAAATAGTTTTAATGTCTAAAATTCAGGTTATTTAATTAAAAATTGAAGATTAAGTTAGAGTAATTTATTCTGTCTGTTTTTGTTATTTTCTGAAACGAAAGAATAAATACTATTAATCTTTATGTTGAGTCTCTGTGCAAAATATAGGGAAAGAATTTAGAATGTGTCATTGAAGAGAATTGATGCTTGACTAGCTTTGCTTACTCAAAATAGAATGGAAGGAACAATTAGCTAGTGTAAAAAATTGCCACGCTTTGACAACCAATCAGGATCGAAATACCCCCACTACGTCACTTTCAGGTATCCCGTTTTGCTTTGGGACATGAACTATTTGTAATGTTGATGAAATATTATGACCAGACATAAATTGCAAAAGTTTTGACATTTTAAAAATGTCCAAAGTTGCCTACTTAGCTGCCAGCATTTGAAATAGACATAACTACAGCCCTGTACATACTTTTCAATAACTAACTTTTAATAAACAAAAAAGTGTGGGGACCTCTTTTTTTTTCCTTCAGGTTTTTTTTTGGACAAATAACCATCTTATTTATATTTTTTCCTTTGTCACAAATGTTTAAAAGGTGCTTATTTTTGTTGAAAGATTTGGCTACGCATCATTTTAGAGAAGAAATACTCATGAATAAAGTGCCCTTGGTAACTCATTTAACTGTAAATACTTCAGTTCTGAATTTTTCTGAAAATCTTGTGTCTACTATATTGCTATTCTTAAAATTTTGTGATTCTCATAATTTTCCTAAATTAATTATATTATTCACTTATTTATTATATTATTCACGTATTATTTCACTTCCTTAGATGCAGAAAAGATATTTATGTCATATGCTTCCATCAAGTGCAAGAAGTCATTCATCAGAAGTATATATTTAGCTTTATAAAGTTTTAATCAATAATTTTGAAACCACAAAAGTATTATGTAGTTCAATTTAATTTATTGCTCTTCATTTTCTAAAAATTATTACCAAAAAATTTCTTTTATTTATTTATATATTTTTAATAATAGAAGATTGAATAAATATCTGAACATTTTTAATTTTGTTTATTTCTTTATATACATATTTTTTTCCCTTTCTTAAAACACTTTTGTTCTTCAAAGCATTTAAGCATAGATAAAATTATGAAGAAGAAAAGCACAAATTTAAAACTATCAATTAGATTAATAAGAATTGAAATAAATTTTTTGATGTGGCATACTTAATTCTGTTTGCCGTAAGTATTTAACTTAGTAAAAAGTATCAACAAGAGTTTAAAAGAAATAAAAATGTGTTACTTACGTACAGAATTTTTTCTTGGTTGTAAAAGTTAACAATCATTTTTAAATATCTAAAATTTTATCAGTTCAGAATAATTAAAATTGTCCCTACTTGTCAGGATTTGCCAAAGCACGAATTTTTTGGAGAAAAAAAAAAACCTAGCCCATGTTGTTTTTAGCCTTTTTTCATGAAAGGACCTGATTTTGCCTAGAGATAAGTGAGTTATATCAAATACATTCTATGTGCATACTTAGATAGGTTAAACTTTAGTATATACAGAAAAAATATTGTTAATTATAATTTTTCCAAAGGGACTATAAAGGGTGCGAAATAAACGGTTATGAGGATAACTAATTGGAAAACTGAGACGTTAAGCTTTAAACTTTCAAGAATTAAGATAGATTTAATTATTTTTTCTGTTTTGCTTTTGTGCAAAATCTTTTGTTTTAAGGGCATTTTTATGATAGCGTGATATTTTTAAAATTTTTTTTGAAGTGTGTATTTTTTTGGCATTGTTTTATGGATAAATTTTTCTGGAAAACATTTTATATATAAAGTATAGTTAATGCAGTTTTATATACATATTTTGTTTTTTTAGTTTCTCTAATAATACAAATTAACATCACTAAATGACAAAACTAGTTCAAGTATTGGACTAATTTTGTCCAGGTCTAAGCTCAAAATTGTATACATATTTTTCGAGCTATGATTCATGTCTGTAAAATATTTTAAAACTTATTAATGTAATCTTAAAAATGCAAATTGATATTGAATTAAAATTTAATATTAAAAAAAAATGGTATTAGTGCTTGAGTGTAACATAAAGTGATAAAAGTACAGTGAACTCTCGCTACTATGATATCCGATACAACAGTAACTCCCTCTATTACAATAATGTTTCGTGGTCGTGATGAACTTGTATATGAATTAATGTTATCCACCTTTCAATATTACGATATTCTTTCAATATTACGATTACGATTCTCTGAAGAAATAAACCCATGTAAAACAATTTTTTTTTCAAGTTTCAACTTTATTTTTTCCATTTATTATTGGTTTTCAAATGATGTAAAAATCTTATTTTATCATATTTTGCCATTGTTTTTTTTTGTTTTGCCTTTTCTGACAAGAGAAGTCTGACTGCTGATTTTGTACTTATCTTATTTCCTTTCATCACAGTGAGTGGCTTTTGTATTCAGATTTCAATACCCCATCCTTGATGTACATAGACCACCACCCCAAGACCTTCCATTCTTGGAATTGCCTACCTTATCTCTAAAGAAGTCACAGATGTAGCATTCTTATCTGATTTCATATTTTTCCATAATTACCATTCTGCAAATTAAATTTTTTATATAATATATAAATTGATTTATAGTTAATACATATATAACGTTAAAATTTTTTAAAAATCTTATTGTGTCCCCAAAGTATGTAGGCCCTCGATATAATAATATACCTCTCTACAACAATGTAGTTATTTGGTTTCCAAAATATTGTAGCGAGATTTTACTCTATTTTAACTGTTTTCAGAATATTAGGTTCCTAAATACTCAAAAGAAAACTATTTTGCGCAATAAGTCTCTTATCCAAAACCAGTTTAGGAAACCCTAAGTCTTGTAATGATTTTTGTTGTCACAGAATTAAATGAAAGACTTAAATTGAATGGTTATTATAAAATCTTTGTAATGCCAAATGCTTTATGAAACTTGCGAAAAAAAACTTGTAATTTCTTAACTCTTGCAGAAAGAAAATGAGACTCTTGAAAGAGAAACTGTAGTTGCTTGGGAAGATTGTAAGCAGGAACTTGAAAGAGTAATTATTTTTATTTTATTCATTTTACAATGTAATTTCATGGTGTGTTTTTAGTGCTTAAAAATGCTTTTTTTATTTCTTAAAGGCCATTAAAGGTGGTTTTTATTTTCATTTTTTAAAACCCCTTGAAGGTACTTTTTTATCGGATGTTTTTAAAAAGCTTGACTTTTCTTTTTAGAAAATTTGCATTTTTTTTCTTTACCATGTCGATTTTCGCCATGTATTATGCAAAAGCTAGGTTTTCACATTGTTCTATTCAACATTTTCACTATTTATTCAAACACAATGCATTTCAGCATACCGTCGGTCCGTAGTAGCGCCAATCATTTTACATGTTTGATGAAGTACTTGCGAGTCCACATATGCTGAGCTGTATCCAGTGGGAATAATTATTGCGTTCTCATGAGCAACTCAGTTGCATTTTGCAATATGTTCTGAATTTCTGGCTTCATTTTCCACCCTTTGATAACAAACCGAAAAATCTCTGGATCATTTCATAATGGCTAATATAATCAAGAAAAGAGTTCTTTGTCAGAAACTAGTCATTTTATCATGATCATGTAAAGTCTTTGAAAATTATTTTGCATTTTGTTAATGTATATAGTGCTTAAAAATATTTTTTGAGTGCTTAAAAAGTACTTAAAATGTGGTTATTTTTGTTGAAAGATTTGGCTGCGCACCCTGATGAAGTTTTGTACTAAGTGCAATACGAATGATGCAACATCTGATCAGTTGTGTTTTAAAGCCTCCTGACATTGTGCTCGGGCTGATTAGGGTAAGCCAACTCATGGATCTAATATGATTCAGATTAGAAGAAATTCAAAATTAAAAAAATATTCATTCTCTTCACATAATATGAAGTTATTTGAGTGCTTTAAGGTTCCTTTTTTTATTTCTTTAGTCACAATTGTTTATTCAATATTATATGTATACAATTGTCAATGGATTCTAGGACTCTAGTAAAAAACACACATATTTAGTGTATTGTGATTTTTTTCTCTTTCGTTTGCCTAATCTTTTTTTCCCACCTTTTTATATCATTGTGTAGCATCATCATTCCTTTTGCAAATTTTACTTTAAAAATCATCTCAATTGAAAATTATTCATTCCATTCCAATAATTTGATTCTGTTTAGCTGTTTTTGGATTCCTTCCTTTTTTTTCCCCTTTACTTATAACTTATAACTTCAACATTATAAATACAGATTTCAATGAATAGATAACACCAAATTACGAGTTAAATAAAAACACATAATTAGACCATTACAATTTTTAATTTTATTTTCTCATTCTTTTTTTTTCTTTCATGCCTTAAAAGTATCAACGTTAATGTTGCTACAACACTTGTAAGCCAACTATTCCAAATTCAGCCATTTAAACAAGAATGAGCTTATTTTGTTTTTGCTCGTGATTTTGACTTTTTGCGTAATGTAAATATACAATAACAAATTAATAAGCTTTCTGATAAAGTTAATGTCTTAAAATCAACATGCAGTGTAGCTCGGGGTATGTAGCGTTTTTAAAAAGTGCTTATTTTTGATATACATTTTTTCAAAAGCCCTTAAAGGTGCTTGTTTTATTCAGTGTTTTTAAAAAGTGCTTAATTTTCTATTTTTTTAAAAAGATTTTATCTTTGCTGTGTCGATTGTCATCCTAAATTTCAAAAAATGCATAATTTTCACAATTTTCTCTGCAATATTTATCATAACCTAGTTATTTTATCATGATTATGTAAAGTTCTTGAAAGTCTTTTTGAATTTTATTGATTTCATATTTATAAATTAAGAACTTAAAATGATAGAAATTTTTTTTTTATTTCTGCACAGATCCTAATTATGATTTTTTTTTTTGAAAAGTGATTTAAAAGTATTTTTTGAATGCTTAAAAAGTAATTTTTGTTGAAAAATCTGGCTACTCGCCCTGTAGCTGATTTCAGAAATTATTAAAACCTTAATCTTGTAATAATTTTGTGAATGCGCTATCACAAAATACTATCCGTAATTGAAATAAATGAAGTGACTCGCATATTGTATTATATTATATGAATATTGTATTAAGTCTACATCTATGCGTTGTTTCTACTCAATTTACTGTACCTAGATTTCAACCTCCAAATTCTTTTCAGCAACAAAATTCAAATTTTCAGATAGGTTTTCCTGTACCTCAACAACACAACTTTTTGTCTTTTCCTACAAATAATATGCAGAATTAATCTCGTTTAAATCAGGAATTAAATTCTCTAGCTAACAATCAAAATCAAATGCTCTGATCTTTTAGCTGCAAGCTTCCTTGCACCAGAAAATCGATTATCCCTATGTTATTCAATAAGAGAGTGGTGTGTAGCAGGGAAATTTCTGGATAATTTTCCCCTGGGGCTCAACGCTTGGAAGGTTCAAACTCATACACTTGTGTATCAATAATTTTTTTTGTTTTTTTTATTAAATTTTGTAATTAGTTATAACTACATAATTTATTGTAATTTCATCATAGCAACTTTTTTCCTTTTTTTAAATCCTTATTTATTTAAGTGTATTATCGCTGATGAAGCAGCAAGGGTTGACTCTAGTGCGATTTTCTGGGGGCCCTGAAACAGCCTTGGGAATTTTTCCCACATCATTCAGGCCATCTATATACAAGCTCTGTGGCAAATTGCCCATGAGCAATAGTGCGACGCAGAAGATCAGAGACAAGCTAAGGAGCTAAATTGTGACTGTCCAAGTGTACGTCAAAAAGAGCTCCTTAAGCTAAACAGGAACAGTTGGCGGACAATCATTGATCTTCTCACTGGACACTGCACCCTCAGGAGACGCCAACATTGAATCTAATGCTCTCTGTAGAGGTTGTCATCTTGAAGAGGAGACTTATACTTTGTGATTGTGAGGTCTATTCTGCTCAAAGATTTGAGCATTTAGGGCAACATTGCATTAAGGCCAGGGAACATGCAATGCCTTCCTGTGAGGTGGTTGCTGAACTTCATTTCAACTATAAGTTTTTCTTGTTAATCATGACTTAGGGTTTGGGTACAATAGACCTCTGGTCAATGTGCCCTGCTTTTTGGAGCTGCCCAACCTCTAAGTCTAAGTATATTATCACTCTTTTAACAATAAGCATAACATTTAGCAGATTATCTATTCTATCTTTACCACTCTCCTCTTTGTAAAGATAGCTTTTAAATACAGGGTATCTGCCTACCTTGAAAGTCATGAATTTCAGTATTGAACAAAACTTGTCATGATTTAAACCTTTTTTTTAAAGAAAAATCATGAAAAGTCATGGATTTAGATTGCTGAAAAATCTAGATTTTGAAATAGAATTTACCCCCCTCTCTAATTTCACGGTGTTCTGAATATCTGAATTTGCGACAAAAGCCCCACTCACAGTCATATTTTATTAAGGTAGAAATTTTTTTTATCGTGTTCTTTAAACTTCTGTGATTTCAGATTTTTTTTTATTTTATCATTTTAAAAATCTAGTTTAGGCTTTTTATATTACACTTTTAAGAAGAAACAAAACAGGTTTAAATAACTACATATATCTAGCTGTATTTAGTTATTTCCTTTTGTATTTTATTTTCACTATTTTCTTGCTTTATCTATTTCTTTACTCTGTTTTTTAAGTTTAAAATCAATAAATATGAAGATGCAAAGTATAACAATTTTTGTTGTACCTATCATTTCAATGAATGTTATTACAGTCAACCCCGCTTAAAGGAATACCATCGGCTCCAGCCAAATTTATGCTATTAAGCGGGTTATTCGATTAAAAGGGGAGTGCAATATTCAATCTTAAATTCTGAATTTTTGCAGAATTTTACTTTTTAATGGTATCTAATGCATAGTATAGCGTTTTGATTGAATAAGCTCAGTTTTATGATCAATAAGTAATTATAATTAAAGCTTTTTGTCTTAGTATCTTAAAAAAAATGTCATTTAAAGTTACATTAAAATAAATCAATGTTAGTGAAAAGTATAATGTAGGAACTAAAATATTATTTAATCCCTTCCGAAAAATTATAGGATTGAAGACTGTTTTTTATACCCGTTTAATTCATCAATTTATCACAATTAGATATTCTCTTTTAGTTTCTACTAAAATTTTCATGACTTGTGAGTATTCCTTTCAAACACATTCAGAATTTTTCTTTTTTCATCTTCGAAACTTGAGAAATTCCCAGTTAATGCGCTATTTTAGTTGGGGATTTTTTAAAAATTTATTGTTTCTAAGATTCATTGTTTTTCCCCCGATTAATTTAGATCATTCTTTTTCACGCTCAACTTGCAACCAACTCAAAATTATTCACTGGATTGAGCAATTATTCTACTTAAAGAGAAAGACACTCTTTACACTAATGTATTAGGTTTTTAAAACTTTTTCTTATGAAAGCTAATAGAGCATCAAGAGGGGACCACAAGTCTTGACCTAAAAACAAATCACTCTATCCCTTTTTTACATATTAAATTATGTGTGAGTGAAGTAAGTTAAAGAGGGGTGAAACCCCCTTCGTTTACTTCAATGTATAACTGGCAGCAAGATTTGATTAATCTTCATCCCAAACACCTACTAATGAATAAGAAGTTTCTATTGAAATGACCACCTATTGTATCCTTATCTTAACTGAAAAAGGGAAATTCCATTTTAGCTGGTGAAACATTTCTCAAAAATAATTTTTTTTTCCTCATTTCAGTGCCACTTCTTTATGCAATTAAGCGGGGGCAAAAAATAACAAATAACCATTTAAACGGGGAAGTTTAACATTAGTTTAAATTAAAATGATTTGGTTCCATTAAATTTTATTCGTATAAGCGGGTTATTCGATTATCCGAGGGGCGATTAAGTGTGGACGACTGTATGATACTTTTTTAAATTTATTGTTCTGTTTTTGTCCGAGAAAATAGTAACTTTGGTAAGTCGTGAAATTTTTTTGGGTATTATTCATGAAAAGTCATGGATTTAAAAATCTAAAATGTAGCAGATACCATGTATGTAGAACTTCTTTTAAAG